AGAGAGAGAGAGAGAGAGAGAGAGAGAGAGAGAGAGAGAGAGAGAGAGAGAGAGAGAGAGAGCGCGTGAGAAAGCACACGAGAGAGAGAGGTGGGTCAGCATCCTTCAATTGCCTATTACAGATGGGAGGAAAAGTTACCGTTTGCACAGACAGAGATGGAGAAGACCTGGTTGTACCATGAGAGTGGCCGATGTCTGCTGGAGTTAACCCAGTATGAGCTGGCACTCGAATATGGCCAGCTGTCCCTTGACCATGCAATGAAAGCAGACGATGAAGTCTGGGTGATGAATGCAAGTGTTCTAATTGGTCAGTCGCAAGGTAAGTTTTTGTTATCACGATGTCTGCCTCATTACATGTAAAAGGTTGTATGTACTTCATCTTGGAAGCCGGACTTCAACTTTCTGACGTGTACAAAGTTGTAACAGCATTGTTCCAGGAAAAAGCCCTGTACGGTTATTTGCACAATATATATTATAACCAGCAAAGGTTTGTGCTTGTATGGGAATTCTGGAGTGCTTAAGTGAGTAGTTGTAGTTGTTCTGAAACTGGAACAATTGCACCTTAGGGGGATGTGTTAGTTTAGGTGGAACGTCTCTGGCCTTGTTCCTGAGTTTCTACAATAAGTCGTATTGTACTCATAAACTACTTAATTCACTGTTGTGATTATAAGTCTGTAAAATACAACACCTTTCAATTATTGCACTATGGGAAGCTGCTAACATATTTTTCCTACACTTCTGCAGTAAAACTTGGCGACTACAGGGCAGCTGAGGAATACTTTCAGCGAGCGCTCGACATCACCGAGTTGCTGGGTGACAGGGAGGCACAGGCAGCCATTGTCAGTGCACTTACAGATGTCCAGTGTCGGCGGGAAGGACATGTTGCCACGACTGAATATAATAAGGAGTCTGTGGGCAGTGCGGCAACCGATTCCGTCGCAGGTATTATGTATAACATTGGGTTGAGCAAGGAAGGTAGGTAAAGAACGAAAGTACGTAAGGAAGGTTTAGCAAAAGCTTTTGGTATTTAAGTTTTACTGACACAAGTATGTATATTTAAAAATTTATTCAATAAAATGTTGGCAAATGCATGAATAAAAGAACTGCCTTGAGAGTTAAATGAAAATTTTTATTTTTAAAACTGAATACTCTGTATTATTGACAGAGGATTTCATGACACTCTCAGTCAGCAATGGAACGAGCAGCCATCCCGCAGAAGTTTCTGCTAAATGTAAGTGCACTATCAGTAGAACATCGAATTTTGTTTTCAAAATTTCATTAGTCTAGGTATGTAATGTATATAGAGAAGCAAATTAAGGGAGAAAAATATGATTAAAAGGATTTAAGGGGGAAAGCATATTTAGGAGTTGAACCTGTACCTAACAATAATTTCACTTAACTATCCAATACTGACAATGCATGTATAGTAGTGACAATTTCTACGTGAAGTGTGACAACTCGTGTAAATTATGCGCCTGCTATTGTCATCGTATTTACGATGTAATTGTGCATTTTATATGTATTATAATTATTGTGTCATTAGCTGACACTAACAGTAACAGTGTCATCACTGCTCCCCGATTGCGCAACAACATGGCAGACGCTCAACATGCTATCGCCCCCATTAAGTGTCACAACTGTGATGAGTTTTGGGACTGAGGTGAACAAAGAATTACATAAAACTCAAATAGTCTGTTGTGGTGATTGCACAGTGTTGAGGTGTGAGGTTTACGACAGCACCAGTGACCACAAGTATAGGTTACTGTAATTAGGCAGTATTTTGTTTTCCTGCACATCCATTGTCCTTCCGTCACTCTTGCCTTTCATCAGTTATAAATCACTATTGCTGTGATGTGTTCTGTGCATGGAACTGGAAGTTCAATATATTTTTTTTATTTGTGAATATTACAATGTATTTCTACAAAAACAAGTAAAAGACATTTTGATGTATGCCCGGTATCAACTTTGGTCTAATATCAAATAATTTAATGGTTGTGAGTAATGTGATAATTGATCAGCTCTTAATTTTAAGACATGAACTGATGCAGTAAACATTACATACGTTATATTTTATATGGCAATTAATAGCTATTAGTGCATATTTATAAATGTATCATTGATTGTCAGTGAGAAATGTAGATATAAAACAAGAAAGCACAAACGTGTGCACAGAGTACATGCTGATCAAGATTGTTATCTATAATTAATAATTTATCAGAATTACCAGTGTTTCCAAGCTGTCTTGTGCTCTTTATTTGCAATAATTATTTCTCCGTTGTAGGAACACGGAAAGACTTCACAGCCTAAAGTCTGGAAGCCTGTATATCACTCATTAGGCCTACAGAAGTTACAAATCGCCTAGGTAACATTTTGGCAAAAATAATTGCAAATTTAATGGTAAAACTGTATATATATATAGATGCAACTTTTTATAAATATTGGCCTGTTGCTGACTATTGTTGCCATAACGTCTTTTAACGTGTTTTCTTGCTTACTGCTTGCTTTTTGATTTAGTTTACTACTACATTACCTTTTCAAATTCTTAATCAATTAGGTACTATTATTGCATAAGAGAAAATGTATACCCAATATGACTCATTTTACTATTTTAATACCCATGTTTACTTGTATAAATATAGCAATAGTTATAGAAATGCATGCAACTATGATGAGTGTAATTGTCAATTAATAGGATATGTAGGAACGAAATGTGAAACACTGATGGCATGTTGGTATTGCTAGCAGTGTCATGAACACATGTTAAAAACATAGTAAATAAAACATTCACACATTTTTATAGTAACTTGAAACCTGTTAACTGTTTAACTGATTCTCACTTATTGTGTGGTACACTTATGCAATGCTTTGTATTTTTTTCACTATTAGGGCTAATCACAACTATAATACATGTGCCTCAAATAAGTAGAAATTGTCTTTATCTACTTTTAAACTGACTTATCAACGAGTCAAAAATCAATACCATGTGCATACATACACAACGAGCCAGAAATCTGGTTTCAAATTTAAACTGAAATTGGCTTCACATTATACTCATCTATAAAGCTTCATTAGTTACATGTTTCAGCATGCACCTTACTAGAGTCGAGCAATCGAAGCTATAGATAACATTGGCCAGAAGACATCTTAATGATATACATCCATATAAAAACTGAAAGGTTGGAATGTGTTAATATTTACACAAATACAGGCATGGATACCCGTAAAATGTTAATTGAGATATTAGCACTTAGCACACAATAAATTATTTTCAACTCCATAAAAATGTAGTTTCTCGGTGGTGTTCAACACATAAAGGTTATTAAGTCTTGGGCATGCACACACCACAATCTTCATCTGTTTCAAGTCCAATTTCCTCCTTCAAATTTTAAAATATGTGAAAAAAATGTTTTATGATTCAGTTTAAATAATAACAGTATCATACTGTCAATGTGTATAATAGTTAACAGTAATAATGGTGAGAATATAATTTTTCCACTTGAAATTGGCAGAATTACGCATGCTACTTAAAGAAATAACTAAGCACAACGGATAAATGTGGAAACAGTTGCCTAAAACTCACATAGCACCTTTTCACATTTAATAATCTAGGAGCAAGAGCAATTAAAATTTGTTCAGTCCCTAACTAAATTAAACAAATAATCCGGGCGCGAAATTAGCACCGGCCCACGGGCACATGCCGGCAAATTATTTGGAGGGCCAGTAATATTGGCAAAACACCGGCCCTCTGAGCTGGTGGTTTCAGCCGTGTTAGTGAGTACTTACATTTTTGTTTATAGCATTAATGAGGAAATAGCCTACATTACTGTTTTACCTGAAAGATATCACGCTATAATTTATCAACATTTTACAAAGTTGAAATGGAGAATGTAAGCGCGAAACATGATATTGGCAAAAACACTTCGGACATCATTCACGATCTGCATTATAGTCTGTTCAACAGCTACTATGCGATGCTGCACACTACATTTTTCGGACAAGCAAGAGTCAGTGAAACAGTCTTATCTATATTTTTGAAAAAAATATTTGTGAGGGCTGGTAAATTATGGTGAGGGCTCGTAAAAAAACTGCTGTTACCTGCCCTCTGGGCCGGTGCAAAAAAAATCTGAATTTCATGCCCTGTATAATTAATAGACAACTAGAAGAAACAAATGATAGTTGTATTTACCAGGAGCTCTTTCTTGCTCTTTGGATAACCATCAAGAATTGCATTAAGCACGTCCATTGTCTGAGAACAAATTAATAGTTAATTGAGCATTATTAAATTAATCTACTAAATTCAATGCATCATGAATGCCAATGAGCACATAAATCATAATGTCATGCAAATGAGTAAATATAGCAAGCAATACCAACTTGGAAATATCACACGAAGGCAACTCACAATACTGATATTTACCAATAAGCAAGGTTCAATCATAGTTGACATTCACACATACACAACAATACACACACAAAACAATAAACACTATTAATGTAAATCCTACCATTCGCTTCCGTTTCCTCCATTCTTTCATATAATGTGCTTTTGCCTTGTAGATCTGTAAGGATCAAATACATCTAGAACTATCCAAAAACAAGCAAACTGCCACACTCAAACCAAGTATGATTAATAAGTTTTTTGCAATGAGATTTTTTGGCAGAACATCTGTAAAGATGGCACAATGCTGATTTACCTTGTCCTTTTCTTCAGGTGACACTGCATTGCTCACACCCTTAATCTTCTTTAGCCTATGCTGATAGCGCTCACACTGGAGAGTATATGTGAGAGAAATAAGTTTGCTTTAACATTGTTAAGTTACTAACCATGTAGATGAATAATTGACAAAGGTAATATGTGTGGGAACTAGCTATATCTCACTGTGCAATATTCGTAACCATGCTTGTTGGAGAACTGGTGTTAGAACAGTGAAATTGTGTAGGGAAAGTGCATGTACCATGGTTACAGTCAGGGCTTAGCGACAAAGACTGAGACTTAAATACCAGCAATGAATAGAATAGAAAGATGCTGTTTTACTTCATCCTCAATTGCCTGTAAGCGGTCCATTGCTTGTTCTGTGGTCAGTGAGCTCTTTAGAGTTTTTATCTCTGCAAGCATTATAATGGATTCAAATACCAAATGTCAATCAGGACTTCTAAACCCCTAAATATATGCAATGCATCTAACCTATTCATGTTTATCGATGATGTTTATGCATTTTAATAAGGCATGCGATGAATTAAAAGAGAATTTGCATAGTTATACTATGAACACATGCATTCTTATAGTTCAGAGAATACACATATTCATGCCTTTCTCAGAAATACTTTTGACAGATCAATCTGATGATCCAGAAATTAATTTAATATCTGAAATTACAAATAATATTAGCATGTTACCAGTATTAAATAAAAGCATTTGTTTTTATTCACTCCTGATATTCTCATCTAATGTCAAATTCCTTGACTGCCTTTGCACTGTTTATTTATATTAAAATAACATTCAACTATCCATACATTACCATTCTCCATGGTGTGCAAAGAGCCTTGGCTCCCCTTCAGCTTCTCTGTCATTTGGTTTATTTGCATATCCATTTTCTTAAGCTCTGCATCATCTACCACTGGAAATCCGGACTAAAACGCAAAAATGTCCATTAATGAACACGTAGGCGCTAGTGAAAAGCTTATCAGAGATCTACCATTTAAATGATTTACTTGCTGCCCTATTTGACTTTTTTGCAGGATATAAGCACATTCGTTTTCTTCAGTTAAGTTTCAGTGGCTATAACATCAGAAATAGATAGGTGATGCAGAAGGCATCCAATTAAGCAATTGATGGGACTGCTGACATCTAGGTATGCATTGCTTATAATTTTATCCATGAAGACTATTACTTCTTTACCTGATCAGGCAGGTACACTTTTTGCTTTCCATACACCTTTTCCTTGATGGATCCCTTCTCAGCCATGCTCTCTAATGCACGCACCACTGCCTAAAAGTGTAAAGATTTATATTTAATAAAACGTAAATTTAAATGCAGGACATAGCCATTGAAAACAATATCTCATATATATTGTGTTTGTGTGCATAAGAGCTTTGTAAGTGGAAACATGACAATTTTAAATTGAAACCTTTCTTTAATATTTATTAGTACAAACGTGTATATACTTACAGTTTTACCATATTCTTTGTGGAGATTATTGAAGATGTCTATAGCACTGTAAGGCCGATTCTCCCGATTCAAATATGCTAGTATTGCAGCTTCCGCTTTCGAAAAAACCAAGTTGTTAAAAAACATACTTAATAATAATAATAACTCGATAACAATATATACAATCACAATTCAGCACCTGGACCACGAGCCTTCGTTGAAACAGGTCGTATTTATTGATGCTTCCTTTCAACAATTACATTGCAGTATTAAAAGCAGTGGCATGAAGTCACATAAAAAGCATGGTTTTGAGCGTTATTTAAATCACAATATCCTGGCCTCTACCTCAACCCTGTTTCTCTGTACCAACTCAATCCAATGTCAATCCATACAAGTGTTTAAACTACAAAACAGTACAAAAGTAACAGTATAAAAGTGAGAGTACAGAGCCTACCTGTGTGATCATTTCCACCTTTACTCATACTTTTCTTCAACAAATCATCTAAAACCTGCTTGGTTAAGAAATACTAATGTAATAAACTGTGCATCATGTAATTGTGTAAATGACGCATACAGCGATACTTCAGTTGTCACACACACGATTACAGGTGTTGCATACTCGTTTACAGATGTTAATGTAATAAACTACCTGCACGATTCATAGGTAATTATTAGCTATACCTGTGTAGGTTTTTGCTTTGCCAAAACTGCCCGCTCACTAGCAACGCCACTATTTCAGTCTTAATGTTGCTGCAGATGGTTGTGTGATCATGTGTGTTCGATAAACTGCAAAATTTTGCCAAATTATGTTGACTTGAGTTTAGAATGTCTGGTTAAAGTCAGCCTCAAAGAATGATCGTCAAAGTCAAAGGGTCTAAACCGAAGGAGGGAATCAAGGATGACCAAAATGATAAATAAACACAGCAGATCGCTGTAGAAAAACTTTTAATTTTACAATAAACGAGAGAAGGAAAAGAATTCCAATATGGAATCGCAGAAACAAAAAGAGCCAAACTCGAAAGGATCCTTCGAAGACGACACACAGTGAAAGCAGTGACCAGATTCAGATGATCACGTCACAACAAATTTGTTTCACGAGGGAATGTCAATTTTCACACAACCATGATAAACTTTGTAAAATAAAATTTATGAGGCAGTTTTATATATTATCATTAAATATATAAAACTACCTCATAATGAGGCTCGTTACGTGTTAAACATGATCATGATTGTAGAGAGGGTTATAACTTATTATAGGACTGGAAGTGAAAGATAGGGGGGGGGGTCAAGTTTAAGTTAATCCAGGTCGAACTCAGACTGATGTGACATATGATAGTTTTTAAATGCCTATCTGACAGCTTTATGCTGTGTGGATTCAAGCGGTAAAGCACGGAATGCCAGTGCCAGCTATGCGAATGTATGTGAATTAATGAGGCTCAGCTTAGCTCTAGTACGGTAGTAGTACCAGTAGGCAGTACCAGGCAGTGTAGCTCTAGAACTATAGCACTTGTTCGCCACAGGCGTGCACCAGGGTCCAGGCTGTGGTGAACAAGGGTTATAACTCTTACTCTACAGTACAGCACGGGCAGTACAGGCACTGATGCAGGGAGCTATAGTCTAGAAGACATGACCCATTGTGTATTGTATTGTAGGCATGAAGTATTGTGGAACATGTTAACTAGACTAGGGCCATGATGCAGTGTGAGACATGCGTCTAAACAGATGAATTGCTCCGACATGTGATTGGAGGATAAAAATAGAATTCGTGACGTTACGTTTTCATACCCCGCCGCATATGCTATTATGCTATGACCGGTAGGAAAGTGTACTAACTATCATATGGCGTGAACAATTTGAGTTACATTTCTATAAAGTCTAGCTTTTATAGACACATGTCTTAGCCTTAATCTCTGTGAATTTTGAGTCTATTGAAGCGCGATTAGTCTAATTATTAATTAATTAGCAAATATGCACGCGCGGTATCGCTCATAGGCTAATATATGCGCGGCTATGGCTGGTAGGCAATTGTACTACCTATCATATGGCGCGAACGATTTGAGTTACATTGCTATAAATTCTAGCTATTATAGACACATGTCTTAGCTATGATCCCTGTGAGTCTTGAGTTTATTAAAGGGCGATTAGCTTAATTAATTGGCTGTGGCTACGGGTATGGCAGCCGTATCTTAATGTCTCGAGGCTGGAGGTACGGCAGTGCAATCGCTTTCATATTTAACGAGACAAAGATGGCGGCGGGTGGCGCCAGATTTCGAAATAACACCTTGGGAAATAAATTCACGATTTGAGAGTTTAGATGAGCTAGAACCCTAACCCTAACCCTAACCCAACCGCCAAAAAAGGGCTTCAACGAACGACGGCTGCCGTACTTCCAGCCACTGCGTAATTAATTTGCAAATATGTACGCGCAGTATCGCTCATACTCGAGTCATAGGCTAAATGTCAAAATGAAAACGAAACGTCATGAATTCTATTTTTATCCGCCAATCACAAGTCGGAGCAATTCCTCTGTTTAGATGCATACATTAGTACAGTTGATAAGCTCTCATATTATAACAATTGTGCATTTTATGAGAAAAGCATGAAATTTCTAGCATAG